TCCGAAGTTATACCCAAAAATGTGCAAAATATAAATTGCTGATTCAGCACAACGTGTGACGTCATTAGCGGGGTAAGTATGTTTATTGAATAGTAAACTGAAGCATAGCTCAGTTATTATGGGCCCAAATCAAATGAAATTTTGGATACTGATTGTACATGATGAGACGCATGGAAAAACACTTCTAATTTTGTTGCCAAGGTAACAATGTCGTTCCCAGGCCCCTTGCGCCAATTTTATAAAACAGCTTTATTCAAGGTACTGATAAAAATAAAATAATATCAGAAGTATGTGTACGATGCCTATGCATGCCGAAAGTTTACTTGCATAATAATAATTCGAAAATGACATACACATAGAGAAATGCAACTAGTTATTCAAAATCAGTGTAAGGGGCCTGGGAACGACTGTGTTGCCTTGACAACGAAATTAGAAGTATTTTCCCATGAGTCTCATCATGTACTATCTGTATGCAGAATTTCATTTGATTTGAGCCAATAATAACTCAGCTATGCTTTAGTTTACTATTCAATAAAATACTTACCCAGCTTATGACGTCACACATTGTGCTGAATCAGCAATTTATATTTTGCACATTTTTACGTATAACTTCGGAACCAGATGAGATAGAATAGAGCAGTAAACGGCCAATCGGCTTATTTTTTCATGCTCTTTCAGATGAAGCAATAAAATAGATGAAGCAATTTTCATTGCCCATACCCTTTAAAGTGCCTATGACATGAAATTTATTATTTTCTTAAATGAAAGAACTCTTTAAGCTGTAGTGTACCTTATATTTCAGTTTCTTGTTTTTTTGGTTTGTTCCCGAGATATTTCAATTTGTTTGATATGTAAATGAGTGTAAATATGTCCGCTATTTTATGACGTCACGTTGGTTGCAAGCTCAACTTACACTGGCTATAAATCTATTAACTCTAAAAACTGAAAATATCAGTTCACGTTTTTCCCAAGTGTTTCATCAGATTTACCAGTGAGGGAAGTTTGAAGTTATCATCTTGGATGATAGCAGTGATATTCAACCATTTTGAGGAGCTTGCAACCAACGTGACGTCATAAAATAGCGGACATATTTACACTCATTTACATATCAAACAAATTGAAATATCTCGGGAACAAACCAAAAAAACAAGAAACTGAAATATAAGGTACACTACAGCTTAAAGAGTTCTTTCATTTAAGAAAATAATAAATTTCATGTCATAGGCACTTTAAGGGAGCCTCACATATCGATTTTTTCCACGAGAAACGTCATATGTTCGTGTGGGGGTGGGGGGTTGTCAGCTGTGACGTTTCTCTGTAAACATGATGGAAAAATTCGATAGTTTTTATCTTTGCAGAATATAAAAAAAGAAAATAATTTGATACAAACAGCAGTCTATACATTCGTAATACCATACCTGTTCTATACCTATACATTTATATTATTACGGCTTCCTTGCATTGCAAACACTCAAATTTCAAGAAAAACGCGCTAAAATTATCAATATTTTAATTTCATGCAAAAAACGTTGTTTTGAGAAACGTTGGAAATTTTGAAGTTCATATTTATAATAAAAAAAGAGTATGTCATATTCCTCGCGGAAGCATCGCCAATAGCCGACCGAAAAAAAATGTATATACAAAATTACCTTATTCATGTGTACTATAAGAACAAAATATCGATAATTATGTGTGACGTTTCTAAGGGGCAGTGGGGGGGTCTCCAGAGAAACGAACATATAACGTTTCTCATGGACAAAATCGATATGTGCAGCTTCCCTTTAAAAGCATCGTTGTTTTGAGAGTTGTATGTTATCATTCTTGCTGGGGATATCGATTAAATTCGAGAGAAATGCATTTAAAATCGAAAAATCGAAGAAAGTACGGTTTTAGGCGCCGTGTGCAAGTCTGACCTATTTTGGGCGCTATGTTTCCTTCCTAGTTCCTTCTATTCTTACAGCAGTTTCACGAGATACGCGACAACCTCAACCAAAAAGTTTGAAAACCTGAATAGTTGTTTTTGACATTTAGGGGCGGTCACTAATTCAAAATCAGAAACGTAATAAGTCGTTAAAAATATACATTTATTCGATTCCGTCGAATAATTGCTAATTGATTGCTAGAATATTGTCTTAAATTGAGAAATAAAATTAATTTACCTCTAGGCTCTACCACAAGGTGCACTTGTCTTTATGTGTTAGTTGGATGTGATTTGAGCACGATTTCTTTTAATATCCCCAGTCATAAGACGCAGAGTGTCTCAAAGTTCACAGGTAAAGGTAAATTAATTTTATTTCTCAGTGGAAGACAATATTCTGGCAATTATTCTGGCAATTATTTGACAAAATCTAATAAATATATATTTTTAACAACTTATTTATCCCATAAATAGCCTCAACGAGTCTGTTAGTAGCCTGTGCACATCCTGTATTACCCTGTACTACAGTACAACCTCGTCCTTCCTGAAAAGGCCCTGGGGACGAGGTTGACTACAGTACAGGGTAATACAGGATGTGCACAGGCTAGTCTGTTGGTGTTTCTGTGATTAGTGACCGCCCCTAAATGTCAAAAACAAATATGCTCTCAAACTTTTTGCTTGAGGTGGTCGCGTATCTCGTACCCTGGAACCAGAGGGTATTTATTTTCGCCTGTTTTCGTATCTCGTGAAACTGCTGTAATATAGTAACCCCAAGGGCAGGCGCGCCTGCATGCGGGCTAAAATATAAACAACTATAAGGCCAATGAAAATTGATATCATGTTTCTCGTCCCCGCCCGCATGGGATTTATCTGCCGCATGAAAATTTTTCATTATTCATTATTTTTGAAAAATAGGCTCAAAAACACCAAATTCATCTCCAGATCAAAGTCTTATTGCTGCATTCCGCAAGCGCAACTCAAATTATATTTTTCTAAAGATGTTACTCGCCAGAATGCCTCTATTTTTCATGTCAGCCCTGGTATGTGTAGAAATATACTGTAGTCTGTAGACTGTAGTGTAGGTAGCCTGCGAACAGGCTCTCAACGCAGATATTCAAATTCATTAGTCATCGATGCAGGCTCTCAATGCAGCTTGAGAGCCTGTTCGCAGGCTATAGTGTAGGACGTATTAAATTAAAATGAATTATACACCAATTTTTAATACTTCAGATTTTTATGGGGGTTTTTACTGGGTCAAGGAAATTATTGACAAGCAGAATTCAAATACAAAAAATAATGAAAAATGAAAAAATCCCGCTCCAAATTTTTGAAAATTGTGGACGAGAAACATGATATCAATTTTCATTGGCCTAACCTGGGGTCCTGTGCTGTGACTCGCATACTAGACAAACTCGCGAAAATATTATGATAAAAAAGTTACAAACGTAAACGTTATAAATGTCATGAACATCCGGAGAGTTTAATTTATGGAAATTAGGCAATTAAAAAAACTGTTCCGCCGCCACTAGGATTTAATAGAGAGGGGATTGCAATACATTGTAATACAGAGGTAATTTAATAGCAAGGGGATTAGCGAGGGAACTGCAACCAGGTATATCAATCATGTTTCGCTCGCTACTCTGGTTTAAATAAATGATTGCAAAGCCCAGTCGAATTGTAATCAGGACCCAACGTTTTGACACTCCAGTCACTTAGTGTCTTCACCAGGGGTGATCTAAGTTGCAATCGTGGCTTCTTAAATACCCAAGGGATGACGTCACCTGCCAATGAGATGCATATATTCCTCTGGCAAATAGGCACCGTCATCCCTATTCAAAGCATGATTACTCATATTTATATGCCACGCTTCTAGGCAAAGTCTTTGACCATAGCGATTGTTTGTGGTAATTACTTTAGAGTTTTCCCACGCAATCTCGTGTCCTAAATGTTTTAGGGGAAAACGATTACCCAAAACGTTTTCTTAATGATTGCCTGAGATCACCTGTTTGTGGGAACGAAAATAACTCCGAGGGTGATACCTCTGTTAAGGGTTATGCAATAGTTCCATTCATTCAAGGTGTCACAGAACCAATCAAGAGAGTCTTAAGTAATTGTAATACTAAGGTTGCCTTAAAACCCAATTTGACTTTAGGCCATATTTTTGCAAAGCCAAAAGATCCTGTTAAAACAAATCAGAAAACTCATGCTGTATATTCTATACCATGCAGTGACTGCGAGAGAAAGAGTATTTGGGTCAGTCTAAACGCCAGTTTGGTACACGGCTAAAAGAACATCAAAAGGCTGTTTCAACTTTAGACAAGGGAAAATCAGCTTTAGCCGAACACTAGTGTATGTTACACCAAACACGAGATTGCGTGGGAAAACTCTAAAGTAATTACCACAAACAATCGCTATGGTCAAAGACTTTGCCTAGAAGCGTGGCATATAAATATGAGTAATCATGCTTTGAATAGGGATGACGGTGCCTATTTGCCAGAGGAATATATGCATCTCATTGGCAGGTGACGTCATCCCTTGGGTATTTAAGAAGCCACGATTGTAATTTTATATCACCCCTGATGAAGACTGGAGTGTCGAAACGTTGGGTCCTGATTACAATTCGACTGGGCTTTGTAATCATTTATTTAAACCAGAGTAGTGAGCGAAACATGATTAATTTTAAAATATTATTATATCATAATATTATATCTAGGCTTGTTTGAAAGGGCATGAATAGCACTGCAAAAAATCCCCATTTTAACTCAAAAACTTGAGTAATATATTGCCCCCACTTTGGCATTGCAGTCACTCAAAATATTGAGTAAAATTATTCAAATTTATGAACAAATTTACTCAATTTTTTTAGTAAAGTTTCAAATTTACTCATGCACTTTTTTGAGTAAAGATTTACTCTATTAAAAAAGTCAGTAAATGTGCCAATAAATTTGAGTCATTTTACCCAATATTATGTGTCACTGTAGGTGCATAATTACTCAAATTGTTTAGTCAAAATGTTCTGCAGTACGGGAATTTAGTACAATAATTGGAATTTCATATGCTTTTTTAGACACCCTCGTGAACTATGAAAGGCAAGACGTCTCTCCTTGCCCTCCTAATGAGTTTTATTCTTTACTTCATGGATATAATCTCCGACATCTACGTGGCGTTTCAATATTACAAGAACGGCGAAATCTGGTGGTCTGCAATCACTCTGGTTTTTGTGATTGTTCCTCATGTCATAATCAATACTTATGCTGCTTATATAAATGTCAATTTTCTTTGGGTGAGTGCACGTAAATCATTCCTGATGTGGATTTTCCAAATATCTATTCTTACATCGTTCAAACAAGAATTTACTCGATGGAAAAGGGAAAATTGGAAGAATAATGGGAACACAAGAGATGAACAACATTCCGCAAATGTTACCGGACTTGAGATGCACAACAGTAGAAATGAACAACACTCAGCAGATGTGACTTTAACAATGCATCATACATTTCTTTGTCTTGCTGAAGCTTTTGCTGAGTCAGCACCTCAGTGTTGTCTTCAGAACTACATTATGATCAGACAATGGCATTTTCCTTGGTATACTGTCATGTCCACTGTCTTGTCTCTCTTCTCCTTGGCTTGGAGCATAACCTCGTTGGAAACTTCATGTAAAACCTGTCAATGGACCTGTGACCAGTCTAGTGAATGGGTATCTGTCTCTCAAGGCCCTGGGACTCATGGTAGTCAGTGGGGTGAAAAGAAAGAGGTTAAGTCTTTTCCAAAAATATCCTTGGTAGTGTTTCTTGTTGCACATCTGTGTTTGTTGGTTTCGAGATTAACCTCACTCGTAATTTTTGCCTACGTTTTCCGCTACTATGTGTTTATTATAGTCGGTCTTCATTGGTTGTTGGTCTTTACAACAATTTGTGTGGGTAAAAAGTTCGACCAATCAACAAAGATAACCCTTATCCTAAATGCGTCACTCCGAGCGTATCCTATGGTGTTCTGCTTATCGAGTAGTATTGCAAAAATAAGTTTTCGGAAAAAGATAAGTGAAAACTTCAGAGCTTTCATTTTCGTGTTCTACGGTATCTTATTACTGGAAAATGCTGTCATGGTATTACTTGCCAACTATAGCGAGGCTTCCCATATAAATTTCTTAACGAAGATTACATTACCATCAGTGTTTGTTGGATTTTTATTGGGTGTCTTGTTGCTTGTGCTGTACTACAAATGCTATCACCCTGCTAAGATCAGGACAGAACATAATGTTGAATCTACTACGTCAAACAAGGATACATGTCTTTTGAAAGGAAGCAAACATAAAGACGATAACTTTGAAATGAAACACGTTAAGTATTTCGTTAATGAAGGGACTTGTTACGAAAATATGGAACACAAGATTTAAGGAATAATGTTAGCAGAAAAACGCTTAAAAAAAGTTAGAGTCCGTATAACCAAGATCTCTTTTGTGGCAGCTTGTAGAATATATGATTTGGTGTGGATGCGTATCAAGCCTATACTCAGAAAAATTCTGAGCCCTAACGGGAATCGAACCACGTAACCTTCTGATAACCGGACAGACGCTCTAACCATTGAGCCTGATAAGACATCAGATGGTGAGCCAAGGTTACGTTATTTACTAGTTCTGATCGAGTGTTACATGTGTACTGCCACAAAAACACACATATACAGAAATGCAGTTCTTAATAATAACATCAACATGACATGTCGAGACTTGCAGTTAGCAGTGCACATGTAACACTCAGAACTAGTAAATAACGTAACCTTGGCTCACCATCTGATGCCTTATCAGGCTCAATGGTTAGAGCGTCTGTCCGGTTATCAGAAGGTTACGTGGTTCGATTCCCGTTAGGGCTCAGAATTTTTCTGAGTATAGGCTTGATACGCATCCACACCAAATCATATATTCTACAAGCTGCCACAAAAACATATATATATATATATATATATATAAAAATATATATATATATATATATATATATATATATATATATATATATATATATATATATATATATATATATATATATATATATATATATATATATATATATATATATATATATATATATATAGAATTTCGCTTACCTCAAAATTCCGCAACAGTCTGTTTCATCAGTAAAGAATCATAGAAGCTCAGCGACCACGAGCATGAACATATCTTACTTACCAGTTCATACCAATAAAGTGGCCAACATCTATATGATTCTTTACTGATGAAACAGACTGTTGCGGAATTTTGAGGTAAGCGAAATTCTACATTTGCTCTATCTTTATGATATTGAGCACTCTTTGCGTTTCGTATACACAAACCTACTCGTATATATATATATATATATATATATATATATATATATATATATATATATATATATATATATATATATATATATATATATATATATATATATATATATATATATATATATATATATTTCTAAAATTCATGAATAATTCATGAGCTAATTAGCCAATGAATTTCTTAAAATCTCGTCACATGATGACCCCTATATACCGTGATATAGATCGGTGTGTGCTGATTTAAAATTCATATATAGACCACATGTACCTTTATGATAAAGATACATGTACCTTTATAAAGCATTCTTTAACAAAATGTTTATTAATCTGTTCCTAATAAAAACTCAAATAATCGAGAAATCAATAAATACTTTATTTTCCAAAGTTAAAGGTAATGTTACAATTTTTAAACACGCGTACGGGATTAACAACCATTTCGTTTTTTATTACACACCACTTTAAACTCTTTAAACCCAACAAACTTGCTTAACTAAAATGCTAAAGACGCTTCATTCATCTCTGCCAGCGATGTAGTCAGTGGCGTAGCCAGCCCGACAATTTGGTCATGCTATGCAAATTTTAAATCATCATCATTCATTTCTTTAGAAATCGATTGTTTTCACAGTCTATGAACACGGAAATATTTGCATAGCATGACCAAATTGTCGGGCTGGCTACGCCACTGGATGTAGTTAATGTCTGGTTTGGGCCAATATCATCAGTTTCATGACCACCATCGTCGATCTTCACTTCTTTAATTAAATTAACCTTTCTAGCAGCTCTCCAGGAATCAGAAATCGTCAAAGCCCACTTTGTCGCGTATCTTGTCCACTTCGCGTATCTTGTCCACTTAAGCCCAATTGGCGGCATCGATCTTTCGAGCAACGTTTGCTCCTCTTCAGCAGTTCGAGCGCTTCAAAACCGACTCATTAACAAAACAAGTCAAATATGTTCAAATTTCCATTTGAAAACTCCGTTTAACCACTTGTATGACTTGATAATTAATCCAGTCATTTATTAATTTGCTTGCTGATCAATGAAGGGAAGAATCGTAAAACAATAGAACTATTGTAGTTAGCATTTCTTATTATTTCATTGGGACCCAAAACAAAAGGTGAATTTTAGAAGTCATTTATAAACCTCGTGAGAGGGCTTTATCGGTGCCTATAGCCGCTCGCCTTCGGCTCGCGTCTATATGCACCGATAAAGCCCTCTCACTCGGTTTATAAATAGTACATATATATATATATATATATATTCATTAGGTTAGCACAACTTTTAAGTTCTGAAGTAGGAAAGATCGAGGTAATGAGTAGTCAGTGTTGGAACGGGTGAATATATATATATATACTCAGTACTGTTAGTATTCATGTTTCAAATCAGAACCATCCATACCCCACCCCCCCCCCAGAAATCTCTGAAGATGATTCTGTCATATAGAATCGAAACACTGCACACCTCGCATGGATAGTGTTTATTTCAGTCGTTGAAAAAATA